AGGCAAACGTACAAAATCAGCAGAGGATCAAATACTTTATTCCCTCACTGTAGGGCAATTTGTTCAGCAGAGAGATGTAAGCCTAGTTATCATTGCATCATCCATAACTTCTAGAAATAACATGATGCAATTCTTATCATGTATGACGCAATACCAGGTTCAGATTGCATCATTCATTGTTTTGCTCATAAAGCAAATACTGTCCAAACCCAGTCATAGATTTATTCATAGATCCAAATTTGTATTTGAGTAATTTCCGGTTTTAATTGAGATCCCTTCCCTTTATAACGCACTCCGCCATTCCCAAGTCAAGCGTCGTAAATACACTGACCCAGGAGCTTATCTTGAACACTAGAGCCAATCAACAATTTTAAGCATCATTTTCATTCTCAGCGACCCAGAATTAGTAACGTTGGACTACATTTATTTCGGAAGCATTGCGGCCGCAGATCAGTGTTACTAGAGCCGTGTTTGTTTGCACGTCTGCCACAAAAGCACCGCGTGTGGTTAACGCAGCGATGCCTCACAAACGTTTAATCTATTTGATGTTTGAACATCTAAACGCAACTCCGGTTTCATTGCCAGAAAATGATTACAACACCTATTTTTATGATTTTTGCAATACTTTGATACTGGCAACAAAAAGTTCACGTATTGTAGCTGTCACTCACCCCGAGCTATAAAATGCCCCTTGGCAGTGGCATTGTCCTTGTCCTGTTCGCCTGTTGGCGTTGTCCTCTGGTCTGACACCGGTGGTGAGACCGGGCCCTGAAGAAGGCTGCCGTCTCTGGTGCAGGCCAATCAGTTGCAAAAGACAATGCGTCTTTAATTATTATCAGAGCCGTGTTTATTTGCATGTTCGCCACACGAGTGCCGTGTGCGGTTAATGCGGTAACTTTGTGATTCCCTGCAGAATGTTTCTATTTGCTGTTTCAACATATTAACACAACTCCTGCCGTTTGATTGCCAGAAAGGGGTTAAAACACCTATTTTTTTATTTTTAACGTAGCTGCTTTGTCCACACGTGGCCAAAGTTCGCAGTCGCGTGTAGGGCGTGTCTACAGCACCCGGTCACGCCCCTCAACCAGCCTGGCCCGCCCCCCTTTTCTGAATAGCTCCACCCCCCCGACCCCAACGTCGGGATTTGTATTGACCAATCACTCGCCCACCTGAACACGCAACCAATTTCAGTCGACGTGCGTTGGTGTATTAGCGATTCGGTTGCGTGCAACTGAGTTGTCTCTAACCAAGTCGCCTATGCAGCCAGTTGCGAGTAGTTGCGTAGAACCTGGTTGTCTCTAACCCAAGTTGCCTCCGCGACCAGTTGCGAGCAAATTGCATGCGAAGAGGTTGTCTTAAACCTGCAGTTGGGCATGCAACCAAGTTTCCTCTGCAATCATGCTGTGCAACCGATTGCTCCGGTGTGGGTCCGATCTTTGAGTAGGCGGAGTGACGTGCTGGGATTGAACCCGGGTCGGTGGCTGGATCGATTTGTAAGGGAGGGATCGAGGTGGAGGCGGTGATGGAGGCGGAGGTGATGGAGGCGGAGGTGGTGGAGGCAGTGGCGGTGGTGGAGGCAGTGGCGGTGGTGGAGGCAGTGGAGGTGGTGGAGGCAGTGGCGGTGGTGGAAGCAGTGGCGGCGGTGTTGCAAAGCGGGAGAGACTCAAAAGTGATTTCACCTTCGGAACCCCCTACACGTTTCTTACAGAATTTTATATAAAAAATATTCACGTCCGTAGAATCAGCAAATCATTCGCTCTCTCCACGGCCGCCGCATGCGATGGCAAATTTTGTTTCTTTGCTTAGTTAATCGCAGAGGAGGGCGGGGGGGAGAGAAGTAAAAAAAAACCACTTAAGTACAAAGTTTTTCCCGCTCGCGCGCCGTCCGAAGAGGTGACTTCCGGGCAAATGTCGCGGAAACTAAAATAAAAACCGCGACACCACCCACCCACCCACCGCCACTGCCACCAGGACCGCCGCCGCCGCCGCCGCCGCCGTCACCTGGACCGCCACCGCCACCAGGACCCGCCGGACGCTCCGTGGTAAACTCCCGTTCGACAGGACGCCGACGGGCGCCCGCGGGTTGCGAATGATTATCGTTCACTTGAAACGTTGAAATCGAAAATTTACAAACAAAGCAACAGCGACAAAAAAAAACCACCCGTCTGTACAACGCGACAGCCGCCGTAGCCGCCGCCGCCGCCGTCGCTGCCGCACGTGCCGATAGGTCGGATCTTTTTTGAACGAAAATTATTTTTGGTAAAAAAAACAAAAACCAAAAAAACAAACCGGCGTCGTTATTTATTTTCGTCTTTCTCCGATACACCCGCGAACGTCCCGGGGGCGGACCAACTGTAACCACGGAGGACAGCTCCGCCAGCCCTTTGAGCGAACTAAAAAAATTGTCGCGTGAAAGTCGCCGCTCCCACACACCCCCCGCCCACCCTCTTCGAAATCCTACCCTTAAAAGTTGCAGCGAATGCTGCGCCAAAAAAAAAGTCCACCGTGCAAGTCGCGCCAAAATGTCCCCCCCCCCACCCCACTCTTAAAGTCGCGGCAAAAAATCCCACGTGGAAGTTGCGCAAAGATTCTCGCGTGAAGGTCTCGGGAAAATCTCACGTGGACGATGCGGCCCACCACCCCCCCCGCCCCCCACCCCCCACCCCCGCTCCGCCTCCTTAAAGTTGCAGCGAACGTTGCGCGAAAAAAAAAAAACCTCGCTCGGAGGTCGCGCAGAAAATCCCGCGTGGAATCTTGCCCCGCTCGGCCTCTCTCGACCGTGAGTGAGGGCAGCCCGACGCAGCTTCAGGCGAAACGCCGGCGCCAAAATTCTGCCTCTTGGGGGGGGGAGGATCGCTCTCCAACGCTCACCGGGGCGAGCGTGGACGCACGCGGTGAGCGAGCGTGGACGCACGCGGTGAGCGAGCGAGCCGGTTCTCACGACCGAGTCGAAGCGGCCATTCGACACGATTTAAAGTGTTTGTGGCGCGTCAGGTGGCTGGAGGTGGGGAGGGGCGGGGGTGGTTGAGGAGGGGGGGGGGGGAGGAGTTTCTGAGCGACGCGACCCAGTTTGGCCGGGATCGTCACGGCGGGGCCTTAAAAAAAAAAAATCCGCGACGGAAGGACGTCGGCGTTTTCGCGTAGTAAAAATAAAAAATGTATAATCGCCATCATCCGTCTGATCATTTCTCCGCAACCTCCCTCGATCCGGGGGAACCCACCGCGGGCGCCGTCGTTAAGCGCCGATTGGGAAACCCCCGGGCGGCCGGCTGGCCGGCCGGCCAGGAGGGGATCTTGGGAGGAGGAGGGCGGCGGCGGGGAGGGAGGGGGGGGGAGAGAGAGGAGGCCACCATGCAACCCACGGCCCACAAAAACACCGACGACGGCGTTCCCCCGCGCCACGGATCCGCGCCGGTTTCCACCGGCGCTGAGAGGAAGAGACGGTGAGAGGAAGCGCCTTCCTGGCAGAGCCTCCGCAGGCGTCGGCGTCGGCGTCGTACGCACCACGCACCACGCACCACACGTCGAGCTCCTCGAGCTCCGTGCGCAGCCAAACCGCGCCGATCGGAGGCTGCCCGTCGACACGCGGGGCCGCACCGCGGAGGCTCGCGGTTCCAGCCCGGCGGCCAAAGCCCCGTCGCCGACGCCGCTCGCTCCACCGCGGACGTGGAAAGGTTCGACACGGCGAGCCCGGAGGTGTGGTGGGGGCGCCGTGCGTGCCGAACGCGGTCCGAACCGTTTTTGGTAACGCAGTAAAAAAACCTTGGATTTGCGAGGAGCATAATTCGTTCCGGAAACGTGTTTGCAATCCAAAGCACTCGTATATCAAAGCGCAACGTACATCAGTTGTGATCACGTGACGCCCGGCAGTACAAAGCGTGTACACGTACTACTGCTCGTGTTGCAAGACCCTCGCTCGTTAATCAAATTCATATTTATTTAAAAAAATTGCTCGTCTTGCAAAACGCTCGCAGACCAAGTTACTCGCAATCCAAAGTTTTACTGTAATGACTCCGCAAATTCGCTCTCGGCCGCAAAATCCGGCTCACGAGCGTGGCCACGCGGCCCCCCGCCTATCGTTCCATTCTGTTGTCGGGCGCGATGGGAGCGGCGGCGGCAGCAGCAGCAGCAGCGGCGATCTGGTTCAGTGGTTGGAGGCCAATGTTGAGGCCTCCTGCTGCTGCTGCTGCTGCTACTGGCGGCCACGACGAGAGGCCTTCAGCCGAGAGAGTGAGTTCGTGTCGTTTGGATTGTTCCTCCTCCTCCGTTGAAGCAGCACAGACAACGGTTTACCGTGTGCGCGGCCACAGTGAGACAGCACTGCAGGCGATGCGGTGGCAGCGGTAGTGGTTGTGGTGGCAGTGGTGGCAGTGGTGGTGGCAGTGGTGGCGGCAGTGGTTACGGCGGTGGTAGTAGCGGTGGTGACGGTGGTTGGTAGCGGTGGTTGTGGCGGTGGTAGTAGCGGTAGTGACGGTGGTTGGTAGCGGTGGTTGTGGTTGTGGTGGCAGTGGTGGCCGGCCCACACCGTGCCGGTTAGATCTGAGCCGGGCGATGGGCCCCCGCGCTGGAAGGCGCCGAGCTGCTGTTGGGACGCGACCCTTACCCAATGGGGTTCTTTTTTTTTTGTTTGCACATTTCTTAACTTTACAAAAATATCGGCGGTCAGGGGGGGGGGGTAACAAACGCGGGGTAACGACGCGGCTGCCGTTAAACAAAACACATCGCGGCCTCGCAGTCCAACAACAACAACAACAGCAGCAGCAGCAGCGGCGGCGGCGACCACGGCACATCCAGTCCCAGCGCTCCGCTCTCCCAACGCATCGTCACGCCCGGCGGTTCTGCGCCCGGTGCCGCCGCCGCAGCCGCCGCCGCCTTGCGTCCCGGAGGCGCCAAATCCGGCCGTTCGTTCGCCGTCCACTCCCCCACGCCTTACCCCCCCCCCCCCTCTCCGGTCGTTCGCAAAACCGGCCCCCGGCCTCTTTCGACTTCACCGTCCCACCCTACTTCCCCCTCAGCTTCACGCGCTTGCAACCGTTCGCCGGCGCCGCGGTCGCGGCGGTCGCGGCGGTCACGCTCGCCACGCCGCCGGCTCCGCCGCCGTCCCTCTTCCTCTTCCGCGTCACCACGCCCTCCCCCAGCCCCGTGTCCGACCCGGCGCCGTCCCTGCGGTCCGTGGCCGCGCCGGCGCGGCTCCGGCACAACCCGTTCGCGGCGCCGCCGCCGCTGCCGCCGGCGCCGTTGCCAACGACGCCGCCATTCCTAGCGCCGCCACCAGCGGCGCCGTCCGAGCCCGCGTCGAGTTTCGCGGCGGTGGCAGCGGTGGCAGCGGAGGCAGCGGAGGCAGTGGAGGCAGCGGAGGCAGCGCTGACCGACGATTCCGAAGGCGAATTCCGTTCCGGCTGACAATTCCGTTCCGTCAGCGAATTCCGTTCCGGCTGCTCTGGACTCCGTTCCGCCGGCTCTGGACTCCGTTCCGCCGGCTCTGGACTCCGTTTCGCCGGCTCTGGACTCCGTTCCGCCGGTGCAGAGCGCTCCGACTCGGGACTGCGTTCCGGCCGAGTCTCGCGCTCCGTCCGCGCGTTCCGCTCCAAGCGCAACTCGCATCCCGGTGGCGAGTTCCCTCCCGGCCCCAGCTTTCGTTCCGGCCGCGTCTCCCGTTCCGTCGGCGAGTTCCCTTCCGGCCGCGGGTCCCCCGGCGCCTCGGTCTGCACCTGGCGGCTCACGGTGCGCGCCGCCCCCAGCGCCACCTGCATCCCACGGTCCACGCCCGCAGGCGCCCGGCCGGGCGGCGGCGCCGCCACCGCCTCCGGCTCCACCGCCTCCGCCTCCTCCCCGCCGTCTTCGCCGCCCTCCTCCATTTTCCCCGCCTCCGACGACACCGACGCAGCCGCCGGCGCCGGCTCGCAGCGCCGGCACCGGCGCGCCATCTGTGCGCCGCCGCCCTGCTGCAGCACCCGCTGGAGCAGCGAGGGAGCGGCGCCGTCGGTGCCGGGCCGAGGCGGCGGCGCTGCCGGGCGCCGGCCGCGCAGCATCAGGAACAGGATGGGGTTGGTGCGCAGCAGCGCCGCCGCCCCCGCCGAGGAGCCGCCGTCGTCCGCCGCCGCCGATGCCGCGGCGCCGGCGGCGGCCGGAGCGGCGTTGGCGTCCGTTCGAGTTCGGCCAAAGTTGGCGTAGAAGCGCACGCGGTTGTGCGGCCGCCATTCGCCGGCGTCGCCGGCGCCGTTCCCGTCGGGCGCCGACCCCAACAGCAGCTGCTCCAAGAGCGTCTGAGAGCCGCCGCCGGCGGCGGCGCCGACCCCGCCGAAACCGCCGAAACCGCCGCCGCCCGGCAGCCAGCGCCGGCCCCGTGCATCGTTCTCGGGGTTCTCGCTTTTGACCCGGAACGGGCGGCGCCACGGCGCCGGCGGGGGCAGGGAGGGGCGCCGGCGGGGGGAGGGGGGCGTGGCGCGAGCGGACGGCGTCGGCGCCGGCGGCGCCGGCGGCGCGGAGCCGGCGCAAAATGCCGGCGCGACGCTTCCCACCTCCTCCCCGCCGCCCGCCGCCAGCGACCGGGGGGTTGCCCCCTTCTCTCCGCGCGTTCCTCCTGACGGCCGTCCGCCCTCCCCGCCGGCGTCTCTCTCCTCGCTCGCCCCCCCCGCGGCTCCGAGCGTTCCGGACGACGCCGCCGCCGCCGCCGCCGCCGGGTCCGTCGTTCCGTTCCGCCCCCCGGTCCCGTCGTGTCCCCGCGGGCCGCCCTCCCGGTCCCTCTCAGCATCTGCGACCGCGTCCCCGTGCCCCGCGGGCCCCGCGGGCCTCGCGGGCCTCGCGTCCCCGTCTCCTTGCATCTCTCCGTCCCTCCCCGTGTCCCCGCGCATCTCCGCCCGGGTGTCTCTCTCCACCGTTGTGTCGGCGTCTCCCCACGTTTCCCAGCGGCCCTCCGCCCCCGTGTCCTGGTCTCCGACTCTCCCCACGTCCATCTCGGTGTCGCCATCTTCACGTGTCCCCACGTGTCTCACCGGCCCGGTGTCTCTATCCGCCTCGGTGTCCCCGTCTTCCTCGGTGCCTCGCCGCATCTCCGCGGGTCTCTCCGACCCCGTCTCTCCGTCGCCTTCCGTGAACATAACGAGCTCGGCATCCTCGCGTCCCCGCGTCTCCGAGTCCATCTCAGTGTCTCCGCTGTTTCTCTCGGCGTCTCCGTCGTGTCCCCGCGTCTCCGGGCGTCTCTCGCTCTCCGTTTCCCCGTGCCTCTCCGTCCCCGTGTCTCTCCATCCCCCCGCGTCCTCATGTCCGTGCATCCCCGCGTCCCCGTGTCTCTCTGTCCCCGCGTCCCCGTGTCTCTCCGTCCCCACGTCCCCACGTCTCTCCGTCTCCACATCTCCGCATCTCTCCATCCCCATGTCCTCGAGTCTCTCCGTCTTCGCGTCTCCTCGCCTCTCCGTCCCTACATCCCAGTGTCTCTCCGTCCCTACATCTCCGTGTCTCTCCGTCCCTACATCCCCGTGTCTCTCCGTCCCTACATCCCAGTGTCTCTCCGTCCCAGCGTCCCCGTGTCTCTCCGTCCCAGCGTCTCCTCGCCTCACCGTCCCAACGTCCCCGTGTCTCTCCGTCCCAGCGTCTCCGCATCTTTCCGCCTCCGCGTCTCCGTGTCTCTCTGTCCCCACGTTCCCACGTCTCTCCGTCCCAGGGTCCCCGTGTCTCTCCGTCACAGGGTCCCCGTGTCTCTCCGTCACAGGGTCCCCGTGTCTCTCCGTCACAGCGTCCCCGTGTCTCTCCGTCCCAGGGTCCCTGTGTCTCTCCGTCCCAGGGTCCCTGTGTCTCTCCGTCACAGCGTCCCTGTGTCTCTCCGTCCCAGGGTCCCTGTGTCTCTCCGTCCCAGGGTCCCTGTGTCTCTCCGTCACAGCGTCCCCGTGTCTCTCCGTCCCAGGGTCCCCGTGTCTCTCCGTCACAGCGTCCCCGCGTCTCTCCGTCCCCACATCTCCCTGCGTCAGCAGCAGCCTCCTGGTGAGGGGACAGCTGCGTGCTTCCACCAAACCATCCTGGTCCTCGGCCACAGCATCGTCTCCCCCACTAGTGCCACCGTCATCCTTCCTCCTCCTCCTCCTCCACATCGCCGCCTCTTCCTTCACTGTGACGGCGGCGCCACCTGCATCATCATCGTCGCCGCCGCCGGCGGCGCCACCGCTCCAATCGGGTTCTTCCTTCACTCTCACTGGTGCCGAAACAGCGGCGCCATCACCGGCACCACCGTCAGCGCCGTCACCGCCGTCTCCGGCACCGGCGGCGCCAGCAACTTCTGGCAGCCCCAGCAGCAGCTGCAGCAGCGTTCGCCGCACAAGCAAATCCCTGAGCTCTTCTCCAGCCGGCGCCACCGCGGCGGATAGCGCCGGGGTCGCCGAGCCGGGCGCCGGCGAGCTCCTCGCGATTCCGGCGCCGGCCCCGCCGGCGCCGGAATCGCCGCCACCGCTGCCTCCATGCGCCAGGATCTGCAGCAGCTTGCTGGCGCTGAACGGCGGTGGAGCAGCGTCACCCTTGCCGGCGCCTCCCGGTGCCAGCGCCTGGGCGGCCGGCCCGCGCGTGAACGAGTCGCACGACCGCAGGAGGTCGATGAGCTTTGTGCCGCCGCCGCCGGTGGGGCCGGCCGCCGGTGCCGGCGCCGCCGCAACGACCGGCGCCGCCGTCGACGCCGCCCCTCCTTCGTCCTGGTGCTGCCGGTTCCCTCCGTTCCCTCGCAGGATCTGGGCGAGCGTCGTCCGGCCCTCGCCGGCGGCACCAGCGGGTGTCGGTGTTGACGCCGGCGCCGATGGTGGCGGAGAGGCGCCGGCGTCTCCCGGCCGCCAGCTGTGCAGCAGCGACTCCGTCTCCTCCTCGATGGTCCCGCGGTGCCGGCACCTCAAGTCCCACGGCGCCGGCAGCGCCAGGGGTTCGGCGCCGGCGGCTTCCCGCTCCCGCCGCCGCGTCAGCAGACGGCACAGCAGGCTGTCGCTGGTGGAGTCCGTCGATGCTGCTGCCGGTGCCGGCGCTGCCGCCGGTGCCGGAGCTGCCGCCGGCGCCGGTGCTGCTGCCGGCGCCGGCACGGGCGCCGGTGAAGAAGACGACGACGACGATGGTGGTGGAGTCGCGGTGGTGCTAAACGGCCGGCGCTTGATCGGTGGTGGCGCCGCGGTCGAGCTGCTGGCGCTGCTGCTGGCGCTGCTGCGCGCGCCGCCGGGCAGCGAGAGGTTGAGGGGCGTGTTGCCGTCGTCGGCAACCGGAGGCGAGGGAATCGGCGGAGTGGCCGCCGCTGGCGCCGCCGTGGCCGCTCGCTTGCGCGCCAGATCCATGAGCACGACGCTGGCGACGCCGTGACGGCCGCCGGGCGCCGGCGCCGTAGAGGAGGCGGGGGCGGCGGCGGCGGTTGTGGAGCTCGCGGCGGTGATGGAAGCGGCGCCGACGCCATTCTTACCGGGACTTCGGGCGCCAGCAGCACCGGGTGCTCTCGTACGAGCAGGACTGGCGGCGCCAGTGCCGGCAGAGATGACTCTGCCCGCAGCGCCATAGCCAGCGGTGGCGCCAATGCCACCAGGGCAAGCGGTCCTCGTGCCACCGGCACCGGTGGCGCTCGCGTAGCCGGTGGAACCTACGGTACCAGCAGACCTGCCGGCGGCGCCGGCGGTGCTGTCGGGGCTAACGGTGCGAGCGACGATCGAGGCGGCAGCACCGGCGGCGCCGGCGGCACTCCCGCCGCCGCCGGCTGCATGCGCACTCCTGGCACCAGCAGCAGTGCTGCCGGCGCCGGTGAAAGCAGAGCAACTGCCGCCAGCGCCGGTGCCGCCACCTCCGCCGTCGCCGTCGCCGCTCCATGCCGGCGCCCTGCGGCTCGGTGCCGGGCTCGACCGCGCCAGCGCCGAACTTCCCCGTGGGCTCCGGCACCAGCGGGCGCGGTCTCTCCTCTCCTGCCCCTCGTGTTCCCCGACCACCTCCTCCTCCTCCTCCTCCTCTTCCGCCTCCACCTCCTCCTCCTCCTGCCGCCGCCGCCGCCGCTCCTCCTCCTCGCCGTGCGCTCTCCCGCGCTGGCGCCCGTGCAGCAGCAGCTGCGCCAGCTGGCTCGAGGCGCGGTCCGGCTGGGGCGGGCGGTGCAGTGGGCGGGCGAGGGCGCAGGCGGGGGGAGAGCGGGGGCCGGCGCCGTTGGGGGCGGGGAAGGACGAGGAGGAGGAGGAGGAGGTGGAGGACAGCGCGGCGCTGGCGCCCATCTTCTTGCTGAGCAGCAGGAGGCTGAGGCACGACGAGAAGCTGGCGCCGTTCTGCAGCGCGGTCGGCGCTACCTCGGCACTGCGGCGCTGCTGCTGCTGCTGATGCTGCTGCTGCTGCTGATAATGTCGCTGCTGGTGCTGCTGCTGATTATTTAGCTGCTGCTGCTCATGATGATTTTGTTGCTGGTGCTGCTCATGATGATTTTGTTGCTGGTGCTGCTCATGATGATTTTGCTGCTGCTGCTGCTGATGATTTTGCTGCTGCTGATGATGATTCTGCAGCTGGTGCTGCTGCTGATGATTTTGCTGCTGCAGGTGCTGCAGCTGCTGCTGCTGCATGCGCCGCTGGCGGTGTGGGTGGTGGTGATGATTCTGTGCAAATTCCTCCGACACGGAGCGGTGGTCGCCGTACCGCAGCTGCTGGCGCTGCGGGCGGTTCCCCGCCAGCGCCGCCCGCCTACCCCCCACCACCTCCTCCTCCTCCTCCACCACAACCACCGCCCGCCGCCCCCCCGCCTCCTGCTCCTCTTTCACATGAACTGGCGCCGGCGGCGTCGCCAGTCCGGCAACGCCGCCGTTGCCGAGCTGCGAGCGGCTTGCCAGCGCCCGCATCAGCTCCGACGCGCTCTTCGCCGGCGCTTCTCGCGCTCTCTCCTCGTCCTCCGCGCCCGAGCGCAAGCTGCTGCTGCTGCCGCTGCTGCTGCTGCTGCTGCCGCTGCTGCCCCTGCTGCTGGTGCCGCCTCCCCCTCCTCCTCCACCCCCCACCCTCCTCTGCTGCTGCTGCTGCTGCTGCTGCAGCCCCAGCAGGAAGAGAGCAGCGGCGCCTTTGCCGGCGCCGGCCGGAGACGCCAGCGGCGGCGGCGGCGGCTGCGGCCGCCCGCCGACGCCGGCTCCAAGCGGGCTCCCGCACATCCCGAGCCGCTGGAACTCGCGGCGCCAGTGCCCGCCGCTAGCGCCCTTGGCGCCGCCGGTCCAGTCCAAAACGGCGCCCAAGTCCGGATCGCCGACGGCGCCGCAATCGAGGGAGCGCGGCCGTTTCGTCGGCGCCTGGCGGCTCAGCGTGCCGGGCGAGGCGAGCGCCGGGCTGCGAGCGCCATCAGCCGGGCGGGACAGCAGCAGCGAGGAGAGGATGGGAGAGGCGCGCGTTGACGACGACGACGACGCTGGCGGCGGCGGTGGCGCCGGCGGCGGCGGCGGCGCCGGCTGGCGAGCTCGGGAAGAGGACGGCGCCGACGGCGTTTGGCCGCCGGCGCCGGGTTGGTAGGGGCCCGGCTCCACGGAGCAGTCCATGCTGGCGGCGCCTCGGCTCCCGCGGTCAGCGCGTCATCGCGCGCTGGCGCCACTCCCCTCTAGGCCGCCCCCCCCCCCCCCCCTGGTGTGGTGAGCGATGGGCGGTGTGGCGAGTGGGGTGGTGGTGTGGCGAGTGGGGTGGTGGTGGTGTGGTGAGCGATACTGCGACGGGCGTGCGCGTGTTTCTTGCGAATGGTGAGCGCAGGGGCGAGCGGCGAGCAGGGTGTGTTTATGTTCCGGGCGGCACAGATGTCTCCGTTTCTCTGGGAGGACGGGGAGACACGATCTGTGGTCTAAGACCCATGGGGGTAACGGTCAGACACCCCCGGGGTTAAGGATCAGGGCCAGCGATGGCTTCAGGGTTTAGGATCGGGGTTCGCGTCGTCGGCGCTGGGGTTAGCTGTCGATTGAGGGTTTAGGGTCAAGGGTCAAGGTTCAAGTTAGGGCTTGGGTTGGGGCTTCAATTGGTGGGGGTTCTGGTTGAAGCTTTGGGTTTAGGGGTTCGAGGGGCCGGGCTTAAGATCCGGGTTGAGTCAAGGTGACGGGGTTTAAAAAAAAAAAAGACTTCAAGGCTGAGGCGACGGGAGTCCTCAGGTAGTGGAGTTGAACCTACGGTGGGGGACCTTGAGGACTTGGGGGGGCGCGGCCAGGGGCCTCGAGGGAGAGCGCGATGACGACGGTGATGACGACGGTGATGACGACGGTGATGACGCCGGCGATGATGCCGCAACCCTGCCGGGAAACACACAGAGCCGGGAGGGAGGGTGAGCGAGCGAGCGAGTGAGCGAGCGAGTGAGCGAGCGAGCGAGAGTGACGCGCGAGTCTTCCCGTCCGCGTTACACAACGCAATCACGCGGGCACACATCCCCGTCAGCCGCGCACCTCCCCCGCTGGACGCACGGCATTCTGGGAGCAGGCCTCGGCTCGCTCGCCAATGCGCGCACACCGTTCCCCGCGCACGCACACACATGTATGCATGCGTCCGTGACGCGTGTAAACATGCGTGTGCATGCCTCCACGCGTTCTCTGCTCGTCCGCCACACAGCAGAGGTCGTGTGGGGAATGTCGACGGGGGGGGGGGGGGGGGGGCCTCTACGTCTCCGCTTTATTGAGCTGGTCAAGGCCTGTGATGCCATCGATGAACCAGGGCTCTGTGTTGTTCCTCGTGCTTTCGGGGTCCCCCGACCCTCTGCTAGCACGATCGTCGCGCACCCTCACGGTGGCGGGCAGCTGCGACAGGAGATGGGGGGTGCTCTCGTCCCCCGAGCGCTACACTTAACATCTTTATTTTGTGTATTTTGGAGAGGGGGCAGAGTGGTAAAGGTGAGGGACAAAGCACAGAAACTTAACCTAAACTATTTTTTTATTTCACCAGGTGAGGCCCTCACCGAGCTATGCAGCTCTTTCAGAGAAGCGACCCTGGCTGTCGCAAACCGATAGCTCAACGAAGTGGCTTATCATCATCATCATTGCCATCGCGTGGAAATTCACAAAAGCAGCAGCCAAATAACTCTTAGACGTGTGACGCCGATTCTAAATGTGGAGGGGGGAAATGCCGGAGGACCTGCAGAAAAATCCACGCGATCGCGGCGAGAGAGACACCGCAAACTCTAAATATGCAAAAGGCGTCGGGATCGAACCCACGACCTCCTGTATACCTGGCGAGGTAGTTAACATCTCCTAGCCACCGTGATGATGATGATGAGAGAGAGAGACACGCAGACTCCAAATATACAGCAGCAGGCGTCAGGGTCAGGATCAAACCCATGCCCTCCTGTATACCTAGCGAGGTAGTTAACATCTCCTAGCCACCGTGATGATGATGATGAGAGAGACACGCAGACTCCAAATATACAGCAGGTGTCAGAGGTTCAGGATCGAACCCACGACCTCCTGCATACCAGGCGAGGGAGTTAACATCTCCTAGCCACCGTCGCTCCCATGATGGCGAAGGAGGAGAGCGGGGAGCAGAGAGTGAGGTGAGAGTAAAGAGAGGAGCGAGGAGAGTTTGGGAGAGAGGGAGGGAGGAGAGAGGAGGAGATATCTTTTGTTGGGTCTTTCATTTAAAAGGGGGGGGTTACATAAAGATAAGCATTAAAAAAAAAACAACGAAATGATGAATGAAGCAAAGTGCCGACTACACCGAGCATCTTCCTGTTTCCTCTGATCGTAAAAAAGAGAGAGGAGAGGGAGGAGAAAGAAAGAGAGAGGAGAGGGAGGAGAGGGAGAGAGGAGAGAGAGAGGGAGGAGAGGGAGGAGAGAGAGGAGAGGGAGAGAGGGAGAGATGGAGGAGAAATAGAAAGGGAAGAGAGGGAGCAGAGTGAGAGAGGAGAGGGAGCAGAGGGAGGATAGGAAGAGAGGGAGGAGAGTGACAGAGGGAGAGAGGGCGAGAAGGGAGGAGAGATGAGAGAATCAGAGTAAAGTATAGCGGAGGAATCCAATGAGCTAGCAAGCTCTTATTTCCACACATGTCCAGTTGAGACAGCAGAGAGGAGCAAGAGAGAGAGAGCAAGAGAGAGCAAGAGAGAGTGGAGAGAGGGGGGAGAGAGAGTGCGGAGAGTGAAAAGAGAGGGTTGGGGGGGGGGCAGAGTGATAGAGTCTGGGGGTGTACACTGACCATGGAACCTCAGATCAAGGTCAATTCTAATCCTGTGAGATTACACATCATAATGAGTGAGTGAGGTGGGGGGGGGAGAGTGGGGAGGAGAGCAAGAGAGAGAGGAGGAGCAGGGGAAAGAGACACAGAGAAGACACAGAGTCATTCAAGGGCAGACTGAGAGAGTTGCATGAGAGCGAAAGAGAGATGGGAGCGGGAGGGAGAGAGTGGCGAGGGAGATGGGAGAGAGGAGGGAGAGGGATGGAGCTGGAGGGAGAGGGATGGAGCTGGAGAGAGGGGAGAGTGTGGGGTCATCGCAGGTGTCAAAGTTCATTGGCGATGCTGGACGTGTGACCAGGAACAGTGAGAATCACATCCTCAATACGGCACGAGTTTGAGTGAGCGAGTGTGAGCGAGTGTGAGCGAGTGTGAGCGAGAGTGAGTGAGAGTGATTGTGTGAGTGATCCTTCATAACGGCACTTTCCCCAACAGTCTGTTAAAGGTTATAGGGGGATATTTGTCTTAGTTTTTTTAGTACTGTATGTGCGTGTATCGATGTTTTGTGTTAGCATTGTGTGTGAGTGAGCATACGTGTGTGTGTGAGTATACATGTGTGTGAGTATACGTGTGTGAATATGTGAGTGTGAGTATGCGTGTGTGAGTACGCGTGTGTGAGTACGTGTGTGCGAGAGTACGTGTGTGCGAGTGTACGCGTGTGTGAGTGTACGCGTGTGCGAGTGTACGCGTGAGTATACGTGTGTGAGTATACGTGTGTGTGAGTATACACGTGTGGAAGTACACGTGTGTGAGTATACGTGTGTGAATGTGCGAGTGCGAGTATACGCGTGTGTGAGTACACGCGTGCGAGTGTGCGTGAGCGAGTGTGTCAATTTGAGGCAGGCACGCCGGGGCACGTACACACAGACACGCACGCACGCACACACAGTCGTGACTTTGACCCAAGGTTGTTCATAATCCAGCCCATAATACATTGTAATTACTTCACCGCGGGAGAGAGGGAGGGAGGTGAATACAGACAAGACACACACACATTCATATACAAACACGTACAAAGACAAAGATCCCCCGTGTAGCCTTCAACGGGGCTGTTGGGGAAAGTGCTGTCAGCGAGCAGCACCAAGGGGTGGGTGGCCAGCACCACGCCCTGACCGCCTTTGTCTCCCTAGCGGCGATGTTTACACATCGCACCCTGCTACTCATTTGAGGCCGAGTCGACCTAGGAGAGGCACAGGACCGGTTCAGATAATCGTCGCCAGTGATGGACGCGAGCGGGAATCGAACTCGGGTGCGCCAGGTTCGTAGTGCAGCGCGCTAACCGCGGCACCACCGCTCCCCATCACGCACGTGCACACATACACACAGACTCGTAAATAAATCCGCACGCACACAAGGACAAAGATCCCACCCCGCATTAGCCTTTAACAGACTGTTGGTAGCAAGTCCTGTTGTGTACAAACACACGCAGACTCATAGATGCAGGCTCAAAAGGCACAAACAACGCATTAGCATTTACACACACGCGCACACATTAACATTCACACGGATGCGCGTGTACGCGGACACACGCACAGACACACAGACACTACACATACGCGCACTCACAGACCCACAGATACACCCCCCCCCCCCCCGACATTAACATTCACACAGACCCTGACAAAAAAACAAAGATCCTCCATATAGCCTTAACAGACTGTAGGGGCAAGTGCTGTCAGCGAGCAGCAACATTTATGAAGGCCGGAACGGCACACTAGGCGGTGGGTGACCAGCACCACGCCCAGCCGCCTTTGTCTCCCCAGTGGCGATGCTTTTGTTTGCACGTCGCACCAGGTGCTCATTTGAGGCTGAGTCGACCTAGGGGTGGACCGGTCGAGAAATTGGCCACTGTTATTGAACGCGAGCGGGAATCAAACTCGGGTGTCTGCCGAATTCGGAGCACGGCGTGCCAACCGCTACACCAGTGACGATTATCTGAACCGGTTCTGGGACTCCCCTAGGTCGACTCGGCCTCAAATGAGCACCTGGTGTAGCGTGTAGTAAACATCGCCACTGGGGGAGACAAAGGCGGTCGGGCGTGGTGCTGGCCACGCACCACCCCTCGTGTGCGGTGCCGGCCTTCATAGGTGGTGCTGCTGCTACTCGCCAACAGCACTTGCCCCTGAAGTATGTTGAGGCCATACGGGGGAACTTTGTCTCGTATGCATCTGTCATCTTCGGTTTGGCAGCGGAGGTCTCACTTCGAATCAGTCGGGCGGCATTATCTATTCATCAGCTGCGTAACGCTGTGTGGAGGCTACCTGGTCTGTCGCTCCGCACTAAGCTTCAGGTCTTCTCGGCCACGGTCATGCCCTCCCTTCTCTACGCTTGCGAAATGCGGACCCCCCCCCCTAATGGAAGCATCTTCGCCGGTTAGAAACATTCAGGCTGGCCCTGCCTACGATCCATCCTGGGTTTAACCTGCAGGCTGGATTGTGTGAAGAGCTCACAAATCCTTGAAGATCTGGACACAGTACCATCGGTGGGGCTCCTCCGGCCAGGCCAGGCTGCACTGGCTGAGTCACTGAGCACGCATGCCCAGTCACCGCATGGCCCAGCAGCTTCTGTTTGGCCGGACAGAGGGGGCTAAACGGGCACGGCATGGGCTAATTGGGCTGATGAGGAACAGGAGGCAGTGGATCTGAGTGGACTTGCCGAAGAATGGTACCAGCGGTGTCAAGATTGGCCTCTGTGGAGGAGGCTGGTGAAGGACGCTACTGGGCAGTGCCAGGCTAAGTGCACCGTGGGGCTACTGGGCAGTTGGGAGCCAGTTGCTCTCCAACAACAACGGAGGGCAGAGGAGCGACGCTCACAACAACGAGCGGAGCGCCGGGCGGCTAAATTCCAGAGAGTTGGCACAGTAGGGGGCACAGGTGGTGCATCTGCCAGTCATCTTGGTCAGTCAGCCCATGGCACCGAGGTCCGTCCCGTGACTTCCTGCCAACAGCGAGAGCCTTCCACGCTTCACGTCACGGCCTCAAAGTGCACCTAGCCTGGCACAAGCGCCGTGGAGACATCAATGCAGCTTCGTGGTGAACGGCGGCTGTTGATGTATGTGTATGCATGTTTGTACCGTATC